AAATTGCAGGCAACTGGCTGCAGCAGAAGTAGCTTGCAGTGCTGCACTCTAACCACTGTGACACCGAGGCTCTTAATGATGGGTACTTGCAAAGATGACAGATCCCTTTAGTCTTTTCCTTGCTGAAGCTTTTGTCTTGTTACCTTCTGGGGAGGCAGATGAAAAAGCGAGGCCTGACGCCGACGATTGCCACATACACGGCCCTCTTCAACGCCTGCGCAGAGACACCCTGGAAAGACAGTGGTCTGCAGAGCGCCCTTAAGTTACGACAGGAACTGATCCAAAAGGGCATAGAGTTGAATCCGATTGCGTATCGCGCATTGTTGAAATGCTGTGCTCTGTGTTCGGATCTCCGCATGTGCTTGGATATCTTAAAGGTAAAAAGAAAAACAAAAAGGGATTGTTGGTGTAAATGTATAATTGTTTGCAAAATTGCATCTATCGGCTGCCTTGGAAATCTCATGTTCATTCTCAGAATATGACATAAATCTCCATCATAATAGTTTATATGCTGCCTGACTCTGTGTATAAATAAACCATATCATGTTCCACAAATGTTTTAACAAGAAGCTTAAGGGGAATTTGTGAAGTTGCGGTTGGAAAAATACTTGTTATGAAATACATCCTTTAGAATTCATTGTTGTTTCACCCATTTTGTAATAGTTTGTGTAAACCAGAACAGAAACTCCTGGTTGTTTGCAAAGAATTGGATGATGCGTTCCTAAAAATAGGCTGAAATTTTCTTCACAAAATTAAAATTATGGCAGGATTCACATGTTGCAGTACAGCCACATCTCCCTGCCTCATAAAACATACCAAGCTAAAACCAGACAAGGCATAAGGTGGTTTAATATAGTTAGTGAAAACAGTCAGAAGATCACATATAGTTGCCTAAGGCACATTAGTTTCTGATCCACAGGTGACCTCAGCCTTAATTTTTATCCTTAATTTTAAAAAGAAAGTTATGGCAAATTTCCTACGATCCGTTTCCTGGGAATACTACATCTGGATTACAAAAAAAAAAAAAAAAAAAAAAAAAAAAAAAAAAAAAAGTAATTACAGAATCCTTACTTTTCCTCAGGAAATGGTGGGAAATGGCCATCAAATCACCACGGATACTTTCAACATCCTGCTCATGGGATGTATAAACGACAAAGAGAACGGTTTCCGCTATGCTTTACAGGTCTGTTTTCTGCCCTTCCCTCCCTTCCAATGGTGGCCACACCCGAGCTCTTTCTGCCCTCCCTGGTCCAGGCTGACTGGGGAATTCTGGGAGCTCTTAAAAGATATCCAAGCTGAGAAACACTAACTCAGATGGATGTGCATAAGTTAATGATCGGTACGGTTGTATTTTTAAAAACCAGGTTTGGCAACAGATGGCAAAGCTGAACCTCAAACCTGATCTGTACACTTACAACTTGATGCTGACAGCGGCCAAATACTGTGGCATCGGTGACTCTGAGGTGGCTTCTAAATTGCTACTAAGACCCTCGGGGGAACGCCCAACTCACCTGAGGCTGAATTCTGGCAGAGAGCAAGGCCCAAAGGGTCAGAGAAAGAAAAGGACGAACGTCCCGGCTTTAATGTTACCGGATGTTGAAGCTCTGGAAAAAAACATGTTCCCAGGAGACGATTCAAAACCTGAGAGGCCTGATAGAAACCAAGATGGCGCCAAGGACAGCGCAAAGTCGGAGTCAAGCGATCACTCGGATTTATCAGACTGCGATACAGACGGGAGTTTGGTGATCTCTGATCAGGGCCAGTTGGTTCCGGAATCAACAGCAGAAAACTCCTCCTCGGAGCCCGCCCTTCCCCTCCCAAACTTGCTGGATTTTCAGAGCCCAGCCCCACATGTGGTTTCCTTAGGGACAGTGGCGACGCCCTCCGATCGACTGGCCCTGATGGGAAACATGGAAGGATTCTTACAAAAAATGAAGGACCACAAGGTGGCCGGGAACCTTCGGACGTTCACATTGCTAGCCGAAAACGTGGAACTCAACAGCCCGTCCGAATCTTCTTTGTTGGCCGTCATGGAGGAGAGCAACGTGAAACCCGATGTGGCTTTTTTTAATACCCTGATCAGAAAAAAGAGCAAGAAAGCCGATCTGGAGGCGGCAAAGGTGAGATCGTCCCTCTCCGGGGTGTGGGTCGCTATTACGGGAGCACCGCCTTAGCCAAATTCAGCCTTTTAAATACTTAATTAGATTTTTTTTAAAAAACATGTTAGCTTTGGAAGCCATATTAATACCAGAAGCTTCCGCGCTGCCACATTCCTGTGCCTGGAAAAGGAGGAGGGGGGAATTGTAGAGTGTTGGTAGTTAAGACATAATAGCATTCTTCTCTTCGGTCAAGGTCATGTTATTCCTGCACCCGGAGGAGGAGTGATTGATGAAGGGATGTCTCTATCTGGGGTGGATGGGGATTGGACCCTGTGATGGACTGTGATGGGTGCAAGGGGTTGGCTTTGGACTTTTGAATTACTAAGGGAAAACCCAGAACTCTCAAGATTCGGTTTTTCCCAGGTGTGCCAGTATACCTACTCTAATAAAAGGAAACCTTGAGAAGATGCCTGTCTCGGAGTTTTTCATTGGAGTTGAGTTTTTCTGGAACGCCGACATCACACCTGTATTACTTTTAAGTAACTGAAAGCGACAAAGATGCGTAATACTCCATTGGCCCCTTATTTTGTCCACCGCAATAATCCTGTGAGGTGGTTGGGCTGAGAGAAAAGTGTGGGGGGGGCACACCCAAGCTTGAAAGCCTAAGGCAGGACTAGAACTCACAGCCTCTCCTGGTTTCGGATGCCTGGTGCTTTAACCACTAGGCCAAACCAGCTGTCTTTGTAAGACTTTTATTCCTGCTTTATTTTTAGGCCAAGGCCACGATGATACGTTGGAAAGGTCAGCTTCATCAGTGCTTGCATGTTTTGGGGAATGGATATACAGCCCTGCTTAACGTCTTTTTCGATTTACAGAGCTTGCTGCCTTTGATGTTGCAAAACGGACTTTCGCCGGATCTGTACACATTCTGTAACTTGGCCATTGCCTGCCGCAGACGCAAAGAAGGGATGCAGTTACTGTCAGACATGAAGGTACAAAACAATCCGACTGTTTTTAGCAGACCCAGGTGAAATTCAGAATTTTGAGGCACCCATTTTCTGCCTTGAAATATTTGCCGTAGTTTCAATATTCCCCTAGATTCGAACGTTGACAGAGACATGCTCTTCCTTCACGACTGCCTTTGTTTCAAATATTTTGAGTCTCTCCGTGCATTCGTTTCAGCAATCTGGAATAAAACCCAACGTGCAGATCTACGGCGCACTGATAAACGCAGCCGTGAGGCGACTGAATTACACTTACCTCACCGAGATCCTGAAAGACATGAGCAGGAACCAGGTGGCTCCCAATGAATTTATTGTTAACATGCTGGAGTTTGCAGCCCAGTATCCTCCTAATTATGATAAGGTAAGAGTATCCTGTGTCTTTTACGCTGGTGTAAACTTGAGCTGGTTTAAGCCGCGCCTAAAATGTTAAGAAACTTAAAATTTCTTGTAAAATGTTTGGAAGGCATTAAATCGCGATGGATATTGAAACTAAGTTAGGCATATTTGACTTGAATTGTTTAATGCTCATTTTAAGCTTCATCTCCAAAGAAAACCCCATTCGTGCTTTTACTCATGTAACAAACCAATGATGGCTTATCATGGTCAGTTCTAATACAGGTAGACCTCAACCTACCACTACAATTGAGACATTTGTTAAGTGAGTTTTATCCCATTTTTACAACCTTTCTTGCCATAGTTTAAGTGAATCACTGCAGCTGATCAAGTTAGTAACCAACCTGGTTATGTGATTCTAGCTTCCCCATTGATTTTGTTTGTCAGAAGGTTGGAAAAGGGGAATCCCGTGACCCCAGGACTCTGCAACCGTTGTAAATATGAGCCAGTTGCCTAGCATACGAACTTTGATCACATGACCATGAATGGATACTGCAACGGTCATAAGTGTGAAAAACTGTCATAAGTCACTTTTTCAGTGATGTTTTTAACTTTGAACCGTCACCAAATCAATCATCGTAAGTCAAGGACCACCTGGACATTGTATTGTCCATGAAACTGCTAGGAGTAATACTTGAATACAAGGAGGCCTCGTTCCAGTTGGGAAAGACGTTGAAAAGAAAAGCAGGCCCATTAAGTCTCAAATCTGCCTTTGCCCAAGAAGGCCCGCCAGGAATCATTGGATGTGGGAGAGCCTCCTGGTGTGTCTTTTAATAGTTTGCATTTGTTTCTCTTCTTTGCAGTACCAAAAAAAGGATCACTATCTAGAGAAAATTGATGGCTTCCGAGCTTTCTATTTCCGTTGGCTTAAGTGGATGCCTGGAGAAGAAGCCCCACACCCTTGGACAAAATACCGATATAAGAATTTGGCACAAAGCAAAGATGGCACCAAGCTGGGACAAGATCAAGGCAGCGAGGAGCTAAAATAAAGCAAATATTGGTCATTCATTATGGGATGCTGAGTTTTTTTTTTTTAAATTGCTTAATTCTGTACGTATCTGTTCACATGAAGCTTAAATTAACCCCTAGGTTAATAACAATTGCAACCCAAATTTATATGGAACAAAAAAAACACCCTTTAGTAATATACTGTCTAATAAATAACATTTTTCTATTACCAGTTCTTATTGGAGGTAATTAAATCTATTGCCCTGTTCATGATCCAGGCTTAAAGTTGCCAAGGTTGGAGACCCCTGCTCTAAAGGAAAGCTTATACTTGTTTTATAGCGATTGTGCTGTTCTCCTATCTTTCTAAGCCATTTTATTAGTTAGCATGGGGAGTTCTGGGAGTTGAAGTCCACACATCTTCCAAGTCACTAAGGATGCGAACTCTTCAAAGGAAAATATTTAGTAACCTAAAATTGCAAAACTGTGTTTGAAAGTATAGATAGTGCTGAGCTGCCATTATTCCCAACTACTTCTGGGAACATCGAAAACCAGAGAAAACCAGAGACTATATAAGTATACTTTTAGTAACTAAATAACATTGGGCTTCAGTAAAGATTCTCAAAGTAAGTCTATTCTTACAGTATCCATACAATTGTTAACATAATTAAAAAGGGACAAGTAGTTTTTTTTAACATGGCAGTGTATAGAATTTTGTTTCAGCTTCCTGGTTTCTTTGCTTGAAATGGGAGTTGTTGAGTTCTAAGAATCCTATATTTACTAATGATCAGTATTAGTGACCCTCAATATTTTCAAATCAGAGGATAAAAAGGTGCCTAACTTAATTTTTTTTTTGCTAGAACAACTGCATGTAAATAATTTCTTAAAAACCGAAGAATTATGCTTATCATTTGGGAGAAGTAGGCAAGACTTTATTTTAAAATACAATGACAATACAGGACATGAAAACACATTACTGCATTTACACATTTAATTATTCCATCACGGGATACAAAGGGAGTCATCTCGACAGCAGGTTGTGAAAAAAATAGTTCTTGTGAGCAGTCCTTGATGGTAACAGTCACTTAAAACCTCCAAAAAGTTGGGGTTTCTTCTGAAGAACGTTTTCATCCAGAGCAGCCCCGACAGCCACAGTGAGTACACTCAATTATTCTCCCCTGTAGAATGAAACCAACAGATCAGTGAAAACATACCATAAAGTTACGCAAGATGTAAGGGGGGGGGGGGGAAAGGATTTTAGAGCAGGGATATTTTTTAATAGGACAGGAATTTCATAAATTGTATACAGTACATGATTGAGATTCTGAATATACAAGGGGAGAAGAAAGTGTAGAAAGCATGGCTGCAAACAACTTAAAAAGCAACATTCCTTACCACTTCCAGTTTACTTTTGGGCACTCTACAAATGCAATTGGTTCCAAAATTGGTATCGCGGGTCTGGATGCAGCGTAAGCAACAGAGGTTTTCATATCCTTGCTTCTTCCATTTTGCAATCAGGTTTTTGTCTGCGTATCCTTCTCTGATACAATATTCATATAATTCTACATAGGGCAGATATAAATGAAAGGGGTGAATAGAGCCCTCTTGATTAAATGAGCTAGAATTTGGAAACAAAGGTGAGCGTTGGTAAAGGTGTATGGAAATGGCCTTGAAGAAGGAATTCAGTAAATACCACCACCTGTTAGAAACATGTTAAATTCCAGTTAAGCTGATTTATTGTTCGTACCTATACACAAGGATGTACTCAACTAACAGCATTAAATTGGTGTAGACAAGAATTAACAGAATTCAACAGGAGTTGGACTGAGATTGCTTGTGGGAATGTAAGGATTCTAGGCTGATTCCTTACTTGACTCTACCCCCCCAGGGTGTCTATCCTGCATAAGCAGAACTGAGAAAGAAATTGAACATTGTTCCACCTTTTTTTGCTATTAATGGGATACAGAGAAACTCGGCTAGGCTTTCAAGATTGTTATACGAATCTTGAGTTCCAGTAGTCTTTGAAGTCTGACTTTCCTGACTTGACCAACCTCAAAGGGCTGGCTATTTTTCCCTCCCTACATGACAAAAAGACAAGGTTTCATCTTTTCAAGGAGATATGAAAGAGCCCGCTATCTTACCTCTGCTAATGGCTTTCCTTTTGTAGAAGAGATCAAAAATATAGCGTGTTTTCTGATGATGAATTCTGAAGATGGGCCAAAGAGATTCCACTTTTCTTTTTCCTTCATGTGGCTCAGTCTCAGCTGAGAGAGAAATGGCACAGACCACAACATTATTTTCTCATTCCCACATACTTCTTTCCGCTTTTCCTATAACTTGTGCAGCTAAGCCAGCCTTTCTCCCCTCTTTCTTTCTCTTACCTTCTCTCATTTTTTGATCCAGCTCATCTAAGGTTGGTTCAATCAATTCCCAGCCATCTGGAGGAGGTTTTCTGCTCCTTTTCACCTTGGGCATCTCTTCAAGAAGGAAGACAACCTGCAGAAGAAACATTTGAGATGTATGTATACAGTCTGACGAGGAAGACAGCAAATGAAATGGTGTTTGTATGTGTGTGAAAATGTCAGTAGGAGACCTAGGACAGTGAGGATCTTATGTCCAGTTGATAAAAGCTAAATCCTAACCGTGTTTCTTAAAACTTTTTTGTTTCCTCCGGGGCCCTTCTCACTTAAAAATAAATAAATAAATGGATCCTAAAAGAGTTTATATGGGTTATATTGAATGCAGGTAATCCTTGTTTAGCGACTGCCTCATTTGGAGAAGGGCCAGGGGGGCAGAGAATGCATTGGTTTTAATTCAAAATATATTAAGAATTAAAACCGACAATTCACTGCCCCTCCCCCCGCCCCTTCTCCAAACTAGGCAGTCGCTAAACAAGGATTACCTGCATTCTATGAAATGCATCACTTCCAATTCTGAGTACGGCAAATGTCCATCAATATAACCCACACAAAGCAAAGCTCTTTTTGGGGGGAGGGGTCCCGAGAGGGAAAAATACAGGTTAAGAAATGCTGCCTGGAGGGATCTTATGCTTATGTGGGGTGGAGAGGGGGGGTGGACTAGAAGACCTCCAAAGTCCCTTCCGACTCTGTTATACTGTTGTCCCTGGAGACAATTTCGGAGAACCATTTGCCCACCATGTTATATACTAGGGTCTCCTGCTTGGGCAGGGGAGGCTGGACTCCAAGGCCCTGTCTATAACAGAGTTGGAAGGGGCCTTCGAGGTCATCTAGTCCAACCCACCCCGTGGGGGTTAGAGAGTCTCTCCCAGCTCCATTCTGATTCCGGATCCTTTCGAAGCTGGGCTCCCCGAGAGCAGCTTTCCTCCCCTCTTCCAAGCGGGATGGCCGGGCTTCCGCGGGGGGGAAAAGGCCGCTTACCCAGGCAAGTCACACCAGCGCGTCCCCCTTCCAGCAAGAAACTCGCCCGGTGGATTTCTGCCAGCCACGCAGCGAGGCTTTAAACATGGGACAGGCAGACAGACAGAGGCGGGGCACCAGGGAGGAGCACGGGCGGGTTTTCGGGGCCCCCCTTCTGGTCCGACGGGGGGGGCTACTTACGGTTTTTGCGGGGGGCTGTTTTGCTCTTCCGCCTCTCCGGAGCTCCCGTCGCCCCCGCCGTGACGTCACCAGAAGGCCAGGCCCTCCTTGGCACCGCCGTCGCTTCCCAGGGGGCTTTTCCCTCGTCGAACCCTCCGACCGTCCGTCCACGAAAGTTGCCTGTTCGGCCCAGCGCCGGAACTCAGGCGAACCGCCTCCAAAAAAAGAAATCCTCGAACGAACCTCCCGCTTCTTCGGAGAGGCCGAGGCTTCTTCACGCGCTGCCTTTACCTTCCCCGCCCTAAAGCTCTCGCCGTTTCCCGTCAGGCGGTAGACGAGACAGCCTCAAGAGCTGGCAACCCACGGAAAGAAGGCGGCCGGGGGACCTTAAACGGACGCCGACGTCCACGACGCCGGTCCCACTTCCGTTTCCGGATCGCTCCCAGCTCGGGGCGAAGCGAGGCGTGTGAAGGGGGGGGTGGCGGCGGGAGGAGAAGCAGGACGACTCGCTCGCCGTCGGAGCCGCCATCGTTGCCGGACCTCGCTATGCCCAAAGGAGGTGAGCGCCGGTGTCCGCCCCGCGGAGGCTCCTTCCTGGGGGAGACCCAGCTCCCGAAGCAGCTGGGCTACACCCCCCCCCCATCGTCCCCGGCCGTGCCCCATGGGCGTTGTGACCCGGTCCCCCCCCC